GTCCAACAAGGGTTGGTGAGGTGTTCTCCGGGACCATGTCGTTAATTCTCGCTGCGACATCAGGAATCTCACACACGCACTAAGCGCGCATCACTAGCTACCCTTTTACATGTGGCCTCAAAACAAGCAGCAATAAGCGAAAGGCAAGCATGCCAATGATGGCACTTTTAGGAACAAAGAGTTTTAGCCCGAGTGGTACTAGGAAAAAAGGCCAGTATCCTTGCTTATCGACTAAAAGATGATCTCCTGTGCAAAAAAAAAAATCAGCTATAGTACGAAATGGACGTCACATTCGTGCTATTGGCATGCCTCAGTTTCGCATACATATGCTCTGCCGTTATGCAGCTACACGTGTTTTCGGTGACACGCGGTGACGTACTCACAATGGCAATTGCCACTGCATGTGATGGCTGCCAGGGAGACACTACTGGGCGTACCGATTCACAATAGAACCTTCTAAGCTTTCATACGCTGTACCGATAACGTAGTAGTTAAAGGGAGTGCTCCACATTTGAGTGGGGTCATTAAATGAAATCGCCATTTTAAAGATAATTCGGTGCATTTCACAGCCATGTCCTTCGTAAGCCCTAAAATCCTCTAGTCTCTGGGCCACAGGCCCGCCAGCATGTGTAGGCAATTTCATGCAGGCTATCATTGCGGTCCCCCTTCCCAGAGGGACCCTCAGCCCACCCATGGCTGACGCATACAGCTTGCCCCGAATAAGCGGGGCTTCGCGAGGATTCACAATAAAGTAAGAAAAAGGGCAAGAGGGTCGAATATGCATCCCGAGTCACGTCTTGTGCTACGTAATATGCGAAGTGGGATATGGCTGCCAGTTATCACGGCAGCAATACTTGTAATGAAATAACTTAAGAGCAGCGCCATAACCGAGCATGTGAATACAAGTAAACTTCTCAAGCTCATGGACAAATATGCTAGAGCACCACGCGAAACGTCAAAACACGAGCACGTAACCATATTTGCGTCAGCGAACGCTTCCAGTACTACCACTGCTATCTCCCGAGGAGCTTGAAGTACAACTAAATGCTAAAGAGGAAGTTTCGCACAGCGGTTTAGCAGCACCTCAACGTCATGCAAAAAACCCTGACGCAATCAAGCAATGACGCATTGTGGAACATATTTACTAAATAGAAAAACAGTTTTCTATAGAGTAGTCTTTTCCACCTAAAAGTATGCCAATAGTTATAAGTGGACTTACTGCAGCATATCTGATCGCTGCTTTAATATCTTCAAATGCGGAGCACTCCCATTACAGGGAGCGTCACATATTAATATGGGGTTTTGAAGTAAAATAACGATCTTGAAGACCTCTTGGTGCAGTTCACAGCCATACCCTTTTTAAGATCCACATCCCTCTAGTTTTAAATCTTTACGCCCGCGAAAATAGGGAGAGGATTTTGGGGTGAGTGTTTTTAGGTCACCTTGGCATTCATGACGTCATACTAACGTCATTCAAGTCCTGTCGTTCCATAAGCCATGCGGCGATCAAGCCGATAAAAAGATAATTATCAAGTCGTTCGTATTCGGCGTTCGTGAGTGCAATTCCCAGATGTAGCGATCGTCAACTGGTTTTCACCAGTTGACACCAGTTTTCACCAGTTGCGTACCTTGCACAATCGATGTTATGCAGGGTACGTTGACGTAATCAAACAATCACGTATTGAGTAGCATATTTACTTAACAAAGAAATTGAGTTGCCTAGATCAGTCTTTTCTATTTAAAAGCATCCCAATAGTTTTAAGTGAGCTTGTTTCTTCACATTCAAAATCGTCAGTTATGAAACCTTCCCTTTAAAGGCAGCATACTACCTTTTTTGTATTGTTCACCCATTGTTAGATTAGCCGCGTCCGATTTCATTGATAACACCAGTTTTCTTGCTATCCGTCTAAATACCTGATGATTTCGATTTCAAGCAGCCGCCCCTGCGGGAGAAATATTACTGAAATCCTTGCTCACCAATTTGAAAGTAACACATTTCATTTGCCTTGCTTTTTCTAACGCGCGTGTTTTGTAATGTTTGCAACACACTGGGCTGTCAAAATGTCTTCGTAATAAAGGCTACGAAAGCTGGAAACACTCTTTAAAAAATGTCTGCTAACATGAGTCATTATGCCTCGAATTCAACACAGCGTTCCACGCTGGCTTTGATTTTTCCCCTATAGCGGATAGCATCGTGGCTCATTTCGAAACGCACTTCGGCTTTGAAAACGGAGTACCACGTGGTCTTCAGTGATGCGCTGGTTCAAACTTCAACCAATGCGTTTCTCGGTAACTGGCCCTTGCCGCCCGCTGTGTCATTCACAGACGTACATTTGTACTGACGTAATTCATACCAGTAGGGGTTCCACTCTTAGGCCCGCAGGCCCGCAACATGCGAGTTAAAACAGCTCAAAAGTGGCACCTTAAACCCATCACAGTTGACAGCGCCCCTAAGCAGATTCTGCCGTCGTCACGACGATGGCGGATGTCATCACGATGACGGACGCGATAACTACGGTTGTCGCGACACTCTGGGTCTACCAAGGGAGAAATGCAGTGCTGCTGCAAAGCGTCAAACGCGTAATTTTGACCCGAAAATGATAAAAATTGACCTCTTTACTATATCTTCATGGTGCTGCAGTGGCATTATTCAGTGCTATGATTAGGCTAAATGGAGCTGAGGCTTCACCAGGGTACGTTTTTGAAATGTGCCCCAAAGGTGGGACACTCCCTTTAAACTGCGCGTATAGGATACCAGGTGTGGCGCCTGCCCTTCGTGCCAGGGTGAAAGGCTGGTGACTTCACATAGCCTCAGCAGCTGAGCGCGCCATAGAGTCCCAATAACACACGCACACACACACGCACACACGCACACGCTTTCATACGCATGATCAGAATATGACAAGGTCATATCCTTGACAGCACCCGTTTAAGGCGTTCTGGCGTGCAGGTAAGCTGCTGATGGACGAGGATACAACTAGAGATGCCCGCAGGCAGTCTGCTGGCTCAAAAGTACGGCAATTTACAAACCAGGGAAAACAACGCAGCTATTAACAAACTGTGAACCATCGCTTACAAAAACCTTGCTCTTTACGACTCGTTACGACGTTTCCTCAGAATGAGTCCCTCGCTGTATTAAACACTCTGAAAATTACCCAAAGTTGCTGATCATGCACCCAGCTGCCACCCTCTTTCTCTGGCACATGGGCGTGGAATCGGCAGGGGAGTATGTACGGAGTTTGCACCGAAGTTTCGGTAGCAAAGCCGGCAACTGTCTAACAGAAAAGTCGAATCACTGGGCGAAGACGAGACTACGCTATTTTGGTAACGAAATGTTCTCGAACTTTCTAGTTCAGTATCTTAAATGCATGAGCAAATAATCAATGAAAATCAAACATCAACAGAAGGCAACCAGGAGTTGCAGGAAAAACGACAGTAATGTTTCCAGCCAGAACCTGCGTTTCACACAGCTAATTTTCTTTCACGGGCACCCAGGTCATTGACAGGCAGCTTCATAAAATACAACCCGTGGAAGACTGGACACATAATTCCCTCCATCCCACTATTTCCACAAATTGCCCGAGCCGGCTCGCCAGCTTCCCGCGCATAAATCAGGGCGTGAATAACAGATTGAGTTCGCGACAGCTCGCAATTTGGCATGGTGAAGTAATAGCCGCACGGCTTCATAGGACACATGTGCTGGCTGGCGACACCTTGGACACTTCTCACATGGCCAACCTCACCGGCAGGCGGCGGCATAGTCCGTTTGACCTTCGTTATGACGTCCTACAATGATTGAGACCCCACCCAGATCCGGCCTGGCGCACTCACACCATGTGACGTCACGTGCTGAAACCGGCGCCTGTCCCTGACTAAGGTCCGGGACCGCCCTTGACCCCAGCCAGGGTCGTCCCGTGACCCTAGCCAGGGCCCGTTCCCTGACCCGGTTCGGGACTGTCCCCGACCCTGACCCAGGGCCATCCCCTTAGCGTTACCTCAGACCGTCCCCTGACTCGGCCCGAGACCGTCCCCTCATCCGGCAACGGGACCGTCCCCTGACCCGGCCCGAGACCGTCCCCTCATCCGGCAACGGGACCGTCCCCTGACCCGGCCCGAGACCGTCCCCTCATCCGGCAACGGGACCGTCCCCTGACTCGGTCCGGGACCGTCCCCTGACTCGGTCCGGGACCCTCCCCTGGCCCGGCCCGGGACCGTCCCCTGACTCGGTCCGGGACCAACCCCTGACCCGCCCCGAGACCGTCCCCTGGCCTGGCCCGAGACCGTCCCCTGACCCGACTTGGGACCGTCCCAACCGTCATCTGACCCGTCTCCTGACCCGACATGGGACCGGCCCGACCCCACAAGGAACCCGATCCCTGTTCCCTGATCATGACCCGGAACCATCACCTAACCCTTACCTGGGATCGTCTCCTGATCCGACCCCGGACCGTCCCGACCCGGCACGGGACTGTTCCTTAACCCTGACCCGAGACCATCACATCGCCCTTATCTGGATGCGTCTCCTGATCCCACCCGGGACTGTCCCGACCCGGCACGCGACTGTCCCTTAACCCTGACCGAGACCATTACATCGCCCCTATCTGGGGCCGTCTCCTGATCCGACCCGGGACCGTTTCGACCCGGCACGGAACTGTCCCTTAACTGACCATGACCATCACCCCGCCCTCACTTGGGGCCGTCTCCTGATCCGGGACGGGACTGTCCCTTAACCCTGACCGTGACCATCACCTCGCCCTTACTTGGGGCCGTCTCCTGATCCGGGACGGGACTGTCCCTTAACCCTGACCGTGACCATCACCTCGCCCTTACTTGGGGCCGTCTCCTGATCCGGGACGGGACTGTCCCTTAACCCTGACCGTGACCATCACCTCGCCCTTACTTGGGGCCGTCTCCTGATCCGGGACGGGACTGTCCCTTAACCCTGACCGTGACCATCACCTCGCCCTTACTTGGGGCCGTCTCCTGATCCGGGACGGAACTGTCCCTTAACCCTGACCGTGACCACCACCTCGCCCTTACTTGGGGCCGTCTCCTGATCCGGGACGGGACTGTCCCTTAACCCTGACCGTGACCATCATCTCGTCCTTACTTGGGGCCGTCTCCTGATCCGGGACGGGCATTTGTGAAGCACTCACCTAGTGTACGCCTCGTCGAACTCCGTCATGGTGGCCGCCATGAAGATCTTGCGCTCGTCCAGCTGGTAGCGCGCCTTGACGTCATCCGTGAAGAGCACGGCCCGATGTCGCATGATGATGGCCTTCATGTTCTCCGTCATCATGTGCAGGTAGAAGCGGCGGAACTCGCGCCACCAGAGAAGCGCGTTCACACACCTACGGACCGCGAGGCGGTCAAGCGACGGCCGACTGGTAGGGAGGGATTTACACACGGACGTTAGGGGATGGGACATAGGACGGAACAAATAGGACGAAGGACAGCATGCAGGAAATGAAGTCGAGGGGACGAATGCTATGTCGCGGAGGGCATGGGACAGAAAGCAGGGGCCGAAAGTCAGAACAAGATAGACGTAAGGAGACAGAGGTCACAGGTCACAGAGGGCGGAGGTTAGGGGAACGAGGTAAGTGGACGGAGTTCACAGAACGCAGGTCGCGTACGAAGATGATGATGCGGAGGTCACGGGACAGAGGTCTTGAAACGGAGGTCACGGGACAGAAGTCGTGCACAGAGGCCATGGTACAGATGTCACGGGCCACAGATCGTGGAGAGGAGGTCATGGGACGTCGGTCACGGAATGGGGCTCGGGGGACGCAATTCAGTGGACGGAGGTTACAGGACAGAGGTCATTGGACAAAGCCACTGGACGGAGGTCACGGGATGGAGGTCACAGGGCGGAGAGCGGTGGACGGTTCACGACTCAGCCATGGGCGCCGCGTAACAGGCGTCCGGCAAAGGACATTACCATGCAGCACACGGACAGCATCAATAATTTGAGCTTTCAGTCGGCCTGCATCCTGCCAGCGCCAAAGCATGCTTCGACTTCTAACGCGGATTCTGTCCAGTAGTGCCATCCATTCGAGACGTGGCACAGCACACAAAGTAGGCGGCGTGTTAGCAACTACTAGCCAGCTGACCCCAGGCAAAGTTGGTGCCGCTGTCCTGCCCTTCCTGACCCAGGCACACCCCAACAAAATAGATCGATTCGAAAGTCGACGGCAGTAACGGGCAGGAATCCTCGAACGTGTCGCACCCTTGCCGCGGCGCCGCCGCCGTGCGCAGCGGCTGACCTCTGGGCGTCGTATCCCTGGCAGATGGAGACGGCGCCGATGATGCTGGGCGTCCGCCGCCCGGCCGGCTGTCCCATGTACTTGGTGACGATGTTGCCGCCCATGGAGAAGCCGACTAGGACGAGCCGTGTCAGCGGGTGCCGGGCCATGTGGCCCTTCAACATGACGTCCAGCTCCTCTGTCCGACCTGTGGCACACCAACAAGCCCCTATCTTAGGCCACAGCGCCGCTTGCAGGACCACGACGAGGCAGTCGAAGGCAACCAAGAAGGCGGAGTAAATCACCAAACCGACTTTACCTGACCTGACACCGCCAGCTTCACATTCGCGTATGTTAAATTGAATGGTTAGGTTGAAAGGCAGGGATGGGACACGCACTGGTAATATCTGCCGTTCGATTTGCTTGAGTTGCATGCTAATGCGGACATGCATCCGTGTCACGGTTCCAAATCAAAACCTCAAAAAGAAGGAAGTCAATGCCTGGGGTGTTGCGGCTAACGCACTTACCATGCCAGGCACAAAATGGTGAATGCATGCACGAAGTTGTGAAAAAAATCAATATGCGCCCAAATCACGGTTCCAAATAAAAAAACAACCGGCGGACGGCAATGCCCGGTTCAACACGGCTAATGTTTCACGTATCGCCCCAGACATTACCACCAACGCCATTCGGCTGGCATCACCGGCGCAGCAGGCCGCCATCTGAGCACAGCGAGGAGGTCCGCACTAAATACGTGATACTAAACTGTTGTTCAGTTGTCTCTATTTGTACCGAATGAACTTCCAGTGCACTGAAAAGCACAACCATACTTTTACCCTTTTCGCGATAAGAGTAACAGTACTTTTCGCAGCAGGTACAGAACAAATGTAACACGCGCTATGGTCACACATAAAATTATGACGCATAAGCGCGACGCTGATTTTAGCACAACTACGGAATCCTGCTCATAACTTTACAATATGTTGAAAACTACACAGATCCATGCCCATCACAATATCACTGAAAGCACCCACCTGGACTTTGCGGGGTGCGTTTTATGGCAGAAAACTAAGGGCGATAGCGTTTAAATTTTGCAGAAGCTGATAAAACAACAACGTTCGCACCATCACACGCAAAAGCGTGAAGCGATCATCTAGGCAAATACCTCTATAAATATGGAACCTATATCGCCGACACTTCACCAGGCTTGAATGCAGTCCAGCTGTGCATAAAAGCAGTTATTTAGGACACTTATTTCCTAGTCGTGACACGATCTGAGGGCTCCGGCGGCTTAAAGACGTGGTAGCCCGCATCGTCCGGGGTATTTCGCCAACGGCGACAGCTTGACGTATTACTTTAACCTCCCATATTATTAGGCTAACAATTGTCGGACCTTAGCGAAGTCGATAGCGTGAGTCATTCTTCTGACAACCGTGAAGTAACTGTTGACGTCCCGCGTTACATAACAACTCACAGATTCCCTACATCATCTAACGGCTTCGGTGGGCCGTGGCATTCGTCGTCAAGTCGGCGTCCTAATGATGCCTAGCTCTCGACCGGGCAACAAACGAGAGCCGCCTTCATTTGCGTCGGCATCATACCAGGACAATAGTTAAGGGCAGGATTCACATGCAGGATAAGAGCCAGGTCGGGATTTGGGTCCCATGCGACGTTTTGTACGAAATGTCTGTTCTACTCATTTAGAAACTTGTTGTGAAGCATGATGAGCCAGACGGTGGCAGTAAATTGGCATCATATATCGGTTTACCGGCCAATATTCCAGAAATGAACAGCACAAGCCATTTCGATTAGGTTATACACGTGGGTCTGCAACGACCTTTAAATGTGGCCTCATGCAGTCTGATCGGATGACTAACTCCCATCGGCATGAAGTCAAGCCAGTCTATATATCACGCGAACAGAATCCGTAAAAACGAAAGAAAATTTTGAATTGCTACCTTCAGAAGCTTCAGAAATCGTGCAAGCCTTCCTTAAAGGCGCTATGTCTCTAAGACCCGACTAGGCATCAAAATTTACCTCGTTGTTACACCAGAATGAGTCACAGATGGCCATTTAACAGGAGTCGAAAATTTGAAGTCAATCTGGAAAGGTACAGACGTGATTCAAGGAAGCCGGAGGGGATTACCTGAACGCTGAAGAGAACCTTGCATTTATACCATAACTCTCGACTGATTCAGTTTCCTCAGAGGGCGCCGTCTCGCTGTATGAGACACGAGCCGCCAAATAAGTAATAAATACGGTCGTCACATTCAACTAATCTGTTTTTGGTGGAGCGTTTGATGCGGCCTCCAGCTGTTCGCCGAAGGAGGAAACGAAAAGAAAACTTTAAATTGCTGCCTTAAACTGCTGAAAAACCGCAGGCGGCTATGGGTTCAAGGATTGCAAAGCGCTCCTGACATTTTATTCTCGTGCAAAGAGTAAACATGAAAGGGTCAACACGGGTCTTCGCTCTCGAAAAACATCGCTCTCGTCTGGAATTTATTCCATACTCATATGGCTGAGGCGTATTGCAGCTTCCCACGACCTCTTGACAGCCCACGATGAACTTGCCGATTCAATACGGAAACACAAGAAATTATATCAGTGGATCGGCTTGAAACGCTCCGTAGCACATCGCCATGCGTATTATCCGTGTCATTGGACTGTTGCTAACGAGCTACAGCCGAGTCGCCACTAAGGTTCGTAGCGGTTCTGTCTGTGACTTTTCACTGAGTGCCTCAACAGCATGTTTAAACCGTGCATCATTATTTGTATTACTTGCCGCCCACCAATCACTCGTACCGATTTCCTGGCGCCTTTCCGATAAATCCCTCCTCGGCACCGTCTTGAAGGCTCATGTCATTAACACTTTACTGTTCTAAGCATTGTCATATAAAAAAACGATTTTCCAATTGATTTTGACAAAAAGTAAAAAAAAAGTCAACAGAAATGATTTTCGCAAAAAGTCAACAACACTGTACGTAACACGGCAAGCGGACGCCGTTTTGTCGGCATGTGTAGTCATCTCACGTCGAGGGCGGATCACGATACAATAACGACCACACGCTAAACGATCTACGAATAATAAACGATATGGCAACTACAAGTTTCCTTTTGCTCTCGCAGATATGGTTCGGCATTACGGTCGCCTCCGGCACTCAACGCTAGAAAATGTTAAACTCGCTGTCTTGATGCGATATATATCGTTACGCCTACGGCCCAAATACACAAAACTCCTTAAACTCCCTTACCCCTCGTTGGAGCTGCAGATAACTGCACCAGCCTCTTGAAACTTCGAGGATAGTCAAACAAAATGCTTACCGCATCATCATAGCAATGTTACGTGATTTTAGGACATCATACGTTTCTGAAACTGCAACCGCAAACATCTCAAAACTTTTCAGCTTTACGTCAATTGTTAAGTGCGTTTGCGGGATGCGTTATGCATACAAAGAGAGAGAGAGAGAGATGGATGTGCTGATATGTCAGCTGCACACCTTTATTGAAACTAATAGTAGAATGTCATCTATGTCTCATTTCTCCTGGTGATTCTACGAGGAGTAAGGCTAACAGAAGACTTCCAGTCTTCCCCACACTGAGAAACGGGGTTCGGCTGGAGCAAACCCCAGAGTGAAATCGTGATCATATCTCAACGTAAAGCAACTGTGGTGTCTTGTGTTAAGATTAGGAAAAAAATTAACGTCGCGGAAAAAACAGAACAAACAAATTCACTTCAAATGATACATTTCTTCATCGAGCAGAGCTATGCCAAAACAGCAAACTCAACCAACCAGACGGAGGGAAATTCAGAGCAGCAGCTATGGCCTTTTCGTCAAGAACAAAGACCATCCGTCAGACCAGACCCAAACATTCTGGGGGGAGCCGTGCACACAAGTATTATTGCGAGCCGACCTGCAGCGGCGGACAATAACGCGGCTCGCCCATGCGTCTTTCAGTCATTGATGACAAATACTTTCACTCGTTAATCAATACCGGTAAACAGGCCTAACATACTCGTAAACAAAGAAGAGCCTATGCAAATGACCCATTAGCGTCCTGAAAGGAGCGTCAACAAGTTGCAGGGGAAGGCAGGGCTGTTGGATGAGCCAGCAGTGACGAATCGAGGCTATGTCCGCAGCCTAGTGGTCGCTTATCCCATCAATGAAGATTGGTGACAACAGTCGAACACAAATGCATCAACGAGCACTAATAGAACATTCTAGGACTACTGCCCCGGGGGGGGGGGGGGCAAGAAAGACTCCTGCTAAGAAGAGCTGTCGATGGTGACAAGTCATCTGGGCACACCAAATCTTGAACGCCTAAGAGCCAGCTTCCCGTAACCATTCAACCGTGAGTGCAATTACTAAAAGGCTGCATAAATGCAGATTTTTTTCTAGAAATGGACGGTCGGAGGCGGCAGGATCCGTGCGGCGCAGGAGGCGGCGGCAAAAGGACGGCAGGTCCGTGCGGCGACTCCGACCTGTCTGATGGCCGCCGGCAGGTCCGGGCGGCAACCCCAACCTGTCTGACGGCTGCTGGCAAGCCCAGCACGGCGGGCGCAGGACGCCCGCAGTGTATTGCCAAACAATGGTCCCGGCACGCACGACGAAGCCGTGCTTCTGCCGTCAAGCCCAATCTAAAGCAGAGACAATGAAATAAAGCCGAAGTCGAAGCCAAACCAGATAGTTTCCAAGCTCGAAACTGCAAAGCCGAAGCCGGAGCCAAATGTTTTGTATTTTTGGAACGCAGAGCTGAGTGCGAAGCCGAGGCTTCTAGCTTTGTGCACGTGTATTAAAAACTTAGAACTTACAAAACGCCAACCTTACCTGAACCCGACAGTGAAAATCCCGAAAACGGATCCAAATCCGAAGCTTGTGTAAAACGTTGTTTTGCGAAACGGAGGCGATTTTGGCGTCTGTTAAAGTTATTCGTGATCAAACAAGACCCGGGTTCTGCGGAGTAACTGAGACGACGTGTTAATGGGCGAATTTTCGGAGCGTCATCCTCGTCTTGTGTGTTAACATGTATACAACGTTTCGTACGTTAATTCTACGTTCGTGGTCACGTGTTGATTGGTTTTGAGAGGGACAAATTGGTTCTTGGCATCCATCCATGCATGCGTCGCAACCTCAAAACGTTGCGTGGTATATTAAGGTCACACGACAGGAAAAACTGCATTTTTTCTAAGTGAAGTCGCAACTGCAGGAA